AAGCATTTTAAGAACAGAAGCAAAATTCTATTCTATCGTGCATTTTCTTGACCTAGGATAGTACCTTCATACATACAAAGGGATTCCATAAGAGGAGTGAAGTAAGAAATAGCTTGCACAGGAGTGTAGATAGAATCTAGTAACAGCTGGCTCAGTGGCTTGCTCTTTTATTTTAGTTAAGTCATTTAACCTCTGTAAGACTTAAATTTTTCATTTATAAAATGAGTAACAATTTTTTTTCAAGGGATCTGAGACCCATAGGTAGAAAGTATGGAGAGGAAAATGTAATCTCATTGTAAGAAAATACTTTCAAATAATTAAAGTTTCCTAAAAGCTCTTGTCTGTTTCCAGAAACAGAGTACCTAATCATCTGACTTGGTCAAACATAAGCTTAATGAGCATTTGGCAGGAGCATTGAGAATTGAAGCACTGGAAGAATGGTTAAGGTAAAAGTCCTTTCCAACATGCTGTTTCGTGATGGCCAATGATTCTTCCATGGAATTATTTAAGTACTGCAGGGCTATGTGTACAGCTCAAACACAAACACTTAGTTGGCCCTACTACCAACATTGCCTCCAAAAGGACAGTCATTTCTTTGTATACTATCTTACTCAAATTCTAGGTGGCAACAGTAACGTTTCTATTTCCTGGGTTTGTTGCAACGGTAATAAATTTCAACAGATGTTTAATAAGAATATTTACAAAAGAAAACAAGATGGTATTATTAAATGTGTTTCAGTGGTGTTCTCTACTGTTCCTTATGTGGCATAAGTCTCATTAAATCAACTGTATAGATTATCTCTTGCATGTGAGAGATTAATAGTTTGGAAGCCAACAAGTCATCGTCTTTTGAGAGTGATGCATTTCTGAATATGGTTGGCTGCAATTGAAGCTAGCTCAGAAAAATAAGGGTATATACATTTTAAAAATTGTTTATTTACAAGTTTTTCATTGATTCCAGAGCATAGACTCTCAGCATTACAAAGCACTGGAGTCAGTATGTGTAGATTTCTCTCTCCACACTCACCACTTCATCTACAAACAAGTAACAGTCTCCATCTCTAGGCATATTGAACTAATAAGGGCTCATTTAATTTGCTGCACTGACACCTTTTATCATAATAATGCTGCATGACAAAGCTACTTAAACTTAGGAGCTTGAAGCTACTAGTATTCATGATTTTTTCTAGTTCATCAGTTTGTGTGGTGGCTAGAACAGATGTGCGTCAGATTGTGAGTGAGCTGGGCTTTGCTCTAGTCTTTGATTTGAGTCTAGGTCTGTTCCATGTGTTTCCCTCATTTTCCTGTAACCAAGGGTTACCTGCCTCATGCCTTCTCTTCATGCATAGCAGAAGCACCCTTAGTGCCTCCTAAGACCTCAACCAAGAACTAGCAGGTTGATTCATCTGCTGACAATTCATTGACCTGGGCAGTGTAATATGGCCAACCCTACACCAATGGAGAGGAAAAACATCTAGTTATCCATGATTACATTAATACCAAATGTGACCAGGTAAGTGTTCATACATTCTTGTAGACGGACTATTAAAAATACAAAGGGTGGGGTGCCTGGGTGGCTCAGTCGGTTGAGCGTCCGACTTCGGCTCAGGTCATGATCTCACGGTCTGAGTTCGAGCCCAGCGTCGGGCTCTGTGCTGACAGCTCAGAGCCTGGAGCCTGTTTCGGATTCTGAGTCTCCCTCTCTCTCTGCCCCTCCCCCGCTCATGCTCCGTGTGTCTCTCTCTGTCAAAAATAAATAAACATTGGGGCGCCTGGGTGGCGCAGTCGGTTAAGCGTCCGACTTCAGCCAGGTCACGATCTCGCGGTCCGTGAGTTCGAGCCCCGCATCGGGCTCTGGGCTGATGGCTCAGAGCCTGGAGCCTGCTTCCGATTCTGTGTCTCCCTCTCTCTCTGCCCCTCCCCCGTTCATGCTCTGTCTCTCTCTGTCCCAAAAATAAATAAACGTTGAAAAAAAATTAAAAAAAAATAAATAAACATTAAAAAAAATTAAAAAAAAACACAAAGGGTTTCACTTTCTACCAAAGCATAATTCTAGTTGACTATTTTCAGTGAGGTAGGTTGGCTATTTCCCAAGAAGCTTGTTGTTGTTGTTGTTGTCAGAGGAGGTTTTCAGTTGTTACAAATACTTTATTATATTAAATGAACTATTGGGACCTCATCAAGATAAAAGGCTTTTGCACTGCAAAGGAAACAATCAACAAAACTAAATGGCAACCAACAGAATGGGAAAAGATATTTGCAAATGACATATCTGAAAAAGTGTTAGTATCCGAAATCTATAAAGAACTCACCAAACTCGAAACCCAAAAAACAAATAATCCAGTGAAAAAATGGGAAGAAGACATGAATAGACACTTCTCCAAAGAATACATCCAGATGGCCAATAAACACGTGAAAAGATGCTCAACATAAATTATCATCAGGGAAATACAAATCAAAACCACACTGAGATACCACCTCACACCAGTCAGAGTGGTTAAAATTAACAACTCAGGAAACAACGGATGCTGACAAGGATGTGGAGAAATGGGAACCCTCTTGCACTGTTGGTGGGAATGCAAACTGGTGCAGCCACTCTGGAAAACAGTATGGAGGTTCCTCAAAAAACTAAAAATAGAACTACCCTATGACCCAGCAATAGCACTACTAGGAATTTATCCAAAGGATACAGGAGTGCTGATTCATAGGGGCAATGTTTATAGCAGCACTTTCAACAATAGCCAAATTATGGAAAGAGCCCAAGTGTTCATCAACTGATGGGTGGATAAAGAAGATGTGGTTTATATATACAATGGAATATTGGTTGGCACTAAGAATGAAATCCTGCCATTTGCAGCAATGTGGATGGAACTGGAGGGTATTATGCTAAGTGAAATAAGTCAGTCAGGGAAAGACAGATATCCTATTTTTTCACTCATATGTGGAAATTGAGAAACTTAACAGAAGACCATGGGGGAAAAGGAAGGGGAAAACTAGTTATAAACAGAGAGGGAGGGAGGTAAACATAAGAGACACTTAAATACAGAAAACAAACTGAAGGTTGATGGGGGGGGGTGGTGGAGGAGAGGGGAAAATGGGTGATGGCCATTGAGGAGGGCACTTGCTGCGATGACAACTGGGTGTTGTATGTAAGTGATGAATCACAGGAATCTACCCCCCAAACCAAGAGCACACTGTATATACTGTATGCTAGTGAACTTGATAACGTGATGTTAAAAAATACCTTATTAAATTGAATGACATTTAACCTACTCAATCTTCTTGTAATTAGGCTTAAAGTTCCCCTGAAAAGAAGTATATTTTCCCTTGGATAATGCAGCTCTTTCAAGTAACTGAAATAATTTCCCCACTCTAAATAGCCCCAATGGCTTCAGCCCTCCTCTTCTACCATAAGCCCATTGTCCTAATATCCCTCAGAACAAATGAGTTTGCTAATACATGGACTTCGAATAGTCTTACTAAATCTCATAAATATAGAAACAGACCACGTAATGCCAGAGGCATATACCAATGTGCCAGTTAATGTAGTGTTTTTAAATAGTTATATCAAAGAGATGAAATAGAACATTTAAACATATAAATCCTTTAAGTACAAAAGGAAAATAACATAATGAAGATCTGTGAACCTATGATCCAGGCTCTCAACTATTAATATTCTCTTATATTTAATCAGAACTCTATGAAACATGGCTCATTACATATAATAGTTGAAGTCCACTTTGTCACTCTCCCCTTCCCACTGGAGAGGTAGTCACTAGCTTAAACATATCCCAAAAGTTTATCACATTCTAAGTCACAAAGCAAAATTATATATGTATCAAGTAATCTCAGACTACATTTTGTGCAATTGTATTAGTCATCAATAAAATGTGTAAAAACTTATGTGAAAAGAATGCCTACTCACACATCGACTGCAACGTGCTGTTTCAGCTAAATGAGTTCTCAAATCTACAACTGCACTACTTTTTGACATAGCACATACTCACGGAGGTGCATTAAAGTTTCCCATTATTTGGGGCGCCTGGGTGGCGCAGTCGGTTAAGCGTCCGTCTTCAGTCAGGTCACGATCTCGCGGTCTGTGAGTTCGAGCCCCGCATCAGGCTCTGGGCTGATGGCTCAGAGCCTGGAGCCTGTTTCCGATTCTGTGTCTCCCTCTCTCTCTGCCCCTCCCCCGTTCATGCTCTATCTCTCTCTGTCCCAAAAATAAATAAACGTTGAAAAAAAAAAAAATAAAAAAAATAAAGTTTCCCATTATACATGCTTTTGGATTTATGTGTTTTGGATTCACATTTGTCTTGAATATAGACCAGAAATTATCTTTGATTATTCTTCCGTTACAAAAGGACACTTTCACACCTTATTAATGCTTTTTTGCAATAAAATCTGTTCTGTCTGATATTAATACAGGTATGCCCACTTTAAGGTTGGTTATATTTTGCTTATTTTTTTTCTAATCATTGTTTGATTTGCCACCTTTCTGTTTTCTTATGTATCTTTTAAACCAAAGAAGTTTTTGTCCTTGTTCTTATCTACACATTTGTAAATTAATGCATTAGATTGTGATGCATCTTGCTTATGTCACCCATTCTGCCTGTCTCTAGGCTTGGTTCCATGAGCGTATTTGCTGAGCAGATCTTCCTTTTTTACCTCACTACATTTTTCTAATAAAAATTATCATCATATTAGGGTCTAAGACAAGTTTTACATACATCTGAGGAATAAACTAATTATCATCTTAGATGGCAATATTACATCTACATTTATATTTTTATATTTAAAACATTATGGGAATGTTGAAATATTCTGTTGGCCAAGAGTCACATTTCCCTTCCAATTCTTTTCTTATTTAATCCCCCATCGCTATTGTGAATTTGTTCTTGTCCTGTTTGAATTGTTAAACTCTTCTTTGTGATAAATGGATTTGAGATTAAAGCCTAAACTGGACTCAAAGATTAGAGAAAGCTATGAAAATTACCTACCTGACCAGCAGTGTCCAAAATGTCCAAATAAGCTGGCTCATTGTCAATTCTAACCTGGGTCTTATAAGCATCTTCTGAAAAACACAAGACAGAATTTATACTCAAATATATTAATCTGAAAGGCATGATTTTTAGATTTCATAACCAAGAATTTCTAAATAGGTTAACTAAATAAAAGAATCAGAGATTCTAGTTGAGTACACAAAGTAAGAAGGATAACCCAGGAAAATATAGGAAAGAATTTCCGCTTTAAGATTTATTTCTCCTTCATTAGGACAATATTATGATTTGAGGTACCTTGGTCATATTACCTACAAAACAAATTGTGAAACACATTTATCAGTCTGTTCTTCATCATGCACTGCATATTCGCATCGCAACATCCTATTCAATGTAAGACTGAAAGCTTTTCCTCTAAGATCAGGAACAAGACAAGTATGTCTACTTTAATCACTTCTATTTAACATAGTTCTAAAGTCCTAGCCAGAGCAATGAGGTAAGAAAAATAAATAAAAATCATCCAAACTGGAAGAGAAGCAGTAAAATATTCTATTTACAGATAGCATGATTTTATAAATAGAAAGCTCTAAAGATTCCATGGGGCTAGGGGAAGGGAGGACTTTTGGAACTTCTAATAAATTCAGCAGTTACAGGATACAAAAACACGAAAAGTCAGTTATGTTTCTATACACTGATGATAAACAATCTAAAAAGAAAACAAAATGTTTCCACTTATAATAGCACAAAAAGGAATAAAATACTTAGGAATAAACTCAACCAAGAAGGTAAAGAATTGTACACCAAAAATTGTAAGAAATTTTAATATGTTTGTGTACTTGTTAACTTATACACGCCTATATACTCTGGATTCTAAACACTTATAAATGATTTGTAAATATTTTTTTCCTATTGTGTAGGTTTTTAAAATTTATTAAAAATGGCATTTGATGCAAAGTTTCTAAACTTTATGAAGTATAATTTTCTTTATTGTTCATGTTTTTGGTGTTCTAAGTATCTATTCTAAAATTCAAGGTCATGAATATTTAACTCTATGTTTTCTTCTAAGTGTTCTATAATTTTAGCTTTTTGCCTATACGTTATTGATCCATTTTCAGTTTGTTGTTGTTGTTTTGTTCAATATGTTTGGTAAGGGTATTCATTCTTCTGCATACAATTCTGATTTTTTTGTTGTTGTTGTTTCTGTAAGTTTGGTACTAAGTTCCCTATTTTAATTTCTTATTTGAGTAAACTCAGTTAATATAGCTAAAAGTTTGTCAATTTTGTTCATCTTTTTAAAGAAGTAACAGTATAATTTATTTTCTCCCTTTTTCCCCCGTATTCTCTATTTACCTCTCTTCTAATCTTTAGTATTTCCGTCCTTCTATTTACTTTGGGTTTAATGACTTCCCCACCACCCAATTTCTTTATTTTTTTTTAAATGTTTCTTTCTTTTTTTATTTGAGAGAGAGATAGAGAAACCCAAGCAGGCTCTGTGCTGCCAGCACAGCTGACGCAGGACTCAAACTCACAAACTGTGAGATCATGACCTGAGGCAAAGTCAGATGTTTAAATGACTGAGCCACCCAGGTGCCCCATCCACCATTTATATTTTAAGAAAAGAGCAAACGGAACCACTACTAACAGCATTTAGGACAGCATTGAATTTTGGCACAATTTCAACAATTATTCATACTGTTGGCTTTGAACCACATGTGATTTTCGGAACCTTCTGGTTTAGAAAATAGTAATGGTCAACCAAGGAGACACTTTTTAAACACACAGTACTGAGAACTTCCCCAAAACTAAGTTTTCGCTAGGTGCTGGAGATGTGAAGATGTACAAACACATGCACACACACGATCCTGGTCTCTACTCTCAAGAACTTAAACAATCACAGTGGAAGACACACATATATGCAATGGGAAGTTAAGATCCAAAAACTTAGAGGCACATAAGCCTACCTCTTCAAGGAAAAGTCATACCTTATGACTGTGCTCCAGAAAGAAAATTGTGGGAAGTATAATCTGCAGGCTGGTCAATCAGGTGTGGTTTCAGCAACTACTGACCATTCTGTGACACCATTCAATATATGAGCAACCACACAGTCTTTCTATTTTCTATTCCAGTGCTCTTTGTATTTTCACTGATCTGCCTTTTACACATGAGAAATCGTGTGGATATTTTTTTTAATGCATAGGGTTGTTTTTCAATTTCATAGGGAAATAAGAATAGCTACTCTGAAAGGATGCTGTGACCTAAGAATCATATGTGAGTCTTTCAGATTTCATGTTTGTTTATTTAAACTCAAAGGCCCCAAAAAGAGCCTGCTGAGGCCAGGAGCATGCTGAGTAATCCAGACAAGAACTGCTCTGTGTGATTATCTGAGCCCTAGATAAACCCAGCACATGAAACATATATCAAATAAAAGCTTCTCTTGGGATCAGAAAACCCCTTCAAAGAGACTTGATGTGAATTGGCTGGAAATTAAGTCAGGCCTTCTATCCAAGATTTCTTTCTCTCTTTTAAGAAGTGTCTATCACAGTACACATTCCAGTGTTGTGAATCTAGGTCACCTCCCTGGCCTCCATAGAAACTAATCCCTTTCATTTCCTTCCAATAAACAATCTTCCCTCCTGTTTCCATCCATCCACTCCCTTTGAGACCTCCCATGTAGAAATGCAGTGACAGAAATTCTCTCTTGAATACATATAAACACCTCCCTGAATTTCAATCATCTGCCTATAGATGCAGCCCTGAAGTGAGTTCATCTTCTAAAGCAAGAGGCCAAATGTATATATACAAAGCTTTATCAGGCAGAAATAATAGTAACTGCCTGCTATATTATTTGTACTGAAAAGCACAGTGGAGTCACATTCTTAGAGGTATCTCTAAAATTCCACCTTAAATTCTAAAATTCTACCTTAAAATACCACTTTAAAATTCATTTGAAAACACTGATGATTGATTGGACACCATTGCTTCTCTTAGGATGGGTCTTCTTCACTTTCCTTCTCTAAAATTTTACAGGCAGAAGCCACCAAAGACCTGTATAAAGCCTCACATCCATCACTAAATACTGCTGTTATAATTGGCCAACCACTTAATCTTACTTGTAATATGGAGTTAATAGTACATACTAGTCAATGCACAGGTGTTCTAGAAGGATCAACTAAAGTGGAATATAACAATGGTGCTTTAAAAAGGAAAGAGAGAGGGAGGGAGAGAAAGAGAGCATGAGAGAGAGAAAAAATAGAAAAGAAAGAGGAAGTAAGGAAGAAAAAAAGACCACAATTTAAACCCAAGCCATGTTATATAGTAAGTATATTGCTTTAAGTTTAAATTATATTAAAACTAAATCACTTCTACTTCTGCCATTTCTATTTACCCATGTGGTCATTTTCCCCGCTCCGCTTCCCCGCCCCCCGCCAACCCAACTAATAAATCAGACAATTTGGTAGTATATGTTTACAATAATCTTCCAAACTATAAGGTCTATAATTAAAAAACATTAAGATGTTCTGAATAATCTATACAAAAATTTAATTCTTTTGCAGAATATATTCAAATCTTTAAGATGTTAGTTGTAAATGCAAAATTTGGATATATTAAAACCACAATATGTAACTGAGAAAATATTAGGTTATTGTTGAATTTTCACTAGAGGACTTTATTTGAGACAGAGAGACAGAGACAGCGTGAGCAGGGGAGAGGGAGAGAGAGAGGCAGAGAAAGAGAGGCAGAGTGAGAGAAAGGGAGGGAATCTTAAGCAGGCTCTATGCTCAGCACAGGACTTGATAGGGGGCTTGATTCCAGGACCCTGGGATCATGACTTGAGATGAAATCAAGAGTTGGATGTTCAACCAACTGAGTCACCCAGGTGCCCCTCACTAGAAGACTTTTTTGAAAATCTTAAGATACTTGAAAAATTCTTACATGGTTTGCCTGAAAACCTGAAATGTGTAATAACTGGCCTTACACTGAAGATATGTTTCTGTAACTCTGAGGTAGTATACATCTCTAAGATATTAATCATTAACCCAATTAAAAAAATACAACATGAAGGTTCAGGTTCAGATAATTTATAAGAACTTTCTCAATTACTTAAGCAAATCATCTTAATTGTGTGTTTATATGGGTATAAAGCAGAAACATCTTAGAACACAGTGTACTAGAAATTTTCTCTTGAGCAGAAAGAGAAACTAAACCAGTACTGATACAAATCTAATATATCAATATATTTATCAATAATGACATCAATATGTGCTTGAGTGTGTAATCTGTGCTACATACTCTGATAGGCACATAATCTACCATGTTGAAAAAGACAGCTGATTTCTATCCACATAGTTTATAATCTTGGGAGAATACATGAAAATAAACAGGTATTTCAACTGTATTGTAATGAGTGTTAAATTAGAAACATTTGAAATGTACTTATTTAGGAAGACAGCAGAAGACACCCAGAGGAGCTCAAGTTGAGCTGAAGTCAATCCTCAAAAGTAACAGATAGAAAACAGAGTTTGGAAGGGGGAGGACTGGTGAGAGGCCAAGAAAGAAAGGGAATTGCATTGATTCTAGCACAGCCCATCCTCTTGAACATAAATATTCAGTGAAATCTAATAAGGGTATATAAGCTTGCTGGATTTGAAAATGGTTTTGAAAACTGGCTGAAGGGGCGCCTGGGTGGCGCAGTCGGTTAAGCGTCCAACTTCAGCCAGGTCACGATCTCATGGTCAGTGGGTTCGAGCCCCGCGTCGGGCTCTGGGCTGATGGCTCAGAGCCTGGAGCCTGTTTCCGATTCTGTGTCTCCCTCTCTCTCTGCCCCTCCCCCGTTCATGCTCTGTCTCTCTCTGTCCCAAAAATAAATAAACGTTGAAAAAAAATTTTTTTTTTTAAATAAAAAAAAGAAAAAGAAAACTGGCTGAACTTCGCTTCAGAGAAGACTAAAAGTTTATGAGAACATACTTCCCCACCATGGAAATAAGAGCTGAAGAAAGGGGTGTCATTAAAAAGTAAATCCTAGAAATACACGGGAATTATAGGGCAGAGTTTAGACTTTTTATCATGCTTTAAA